CAAGTAAGTCTTGGGTTTCGCCACCATAACAGTCAGCATACCTCTTGGTCACTCCAGGACACCTTTTATGTCTGGAGGTCTGCAGACAATTAGTACATCTATGATTATTTTAACTGTTGACTCACAAGTTAAGTGGATACATTTAGATTGTTTTTTTAATACCTGTGGATGCTCTTTTCCATTTAAGGCCGGATGGAATTAACAATCAATCAACCAACAACGTGAGATTCATTATAAGGGTTCCCCACAGCTTTCATTTTAAGGGGCAGCATTTCTAATGTTATATTGTTATAAATTAAGGCAGGGGATAAGATGCAGGGCTATGAAGCACAGAAAATAATTTTGGCCCAAAGTAAGAGAACATCTCTAATAATAGCGTAGATCCTTCCAGGATATAAAAATGTGTTACAGTGCTATTTCATCAACTTGCTGAAATCATTTTAATTGTGGACATTCACAAAACAAAAGCCAGTGGAAGCCAAAGTTGATCCCCAAAAAGACAGCAGAATTAGACTATCATATTGACCTGTTCACATTGTTTCTGAAAACCCTACTGTATATATATTCCATACATTTTAAATACTTGATTAGTTGTTAAATATAAGATAGGACAATATCCAAGAAGCTGGCAAGGCCAGCTATCCCACTACATTCAATGACCTTGTTTGCACTATGACAAAAAAAAATGATCTAACTTGAGTTAGCTAACGCAAGGTAAAATCCTAATGATGACAAGACAGCTCATATTTCACATGAGTTAGCAGGTCAAGCTAAAGACTATGGGCAAACCTACTCTAACTCGACCTGCTAACTCATGCAAAAACTATTAACTGCTCTGTCTTCATTAGGATTTTATCTTGAGTTAGCTAACTTGAGTTAAGAACATATCCTTTTTTGTAGTGAAGGCAAGACCAAAGATAACTGGATCACAGATCGTAAGTACAGTACTTAGTTCTTCTCACAACACATCAGGAATCTCAGGATTTGACTCTCATTCATAATAATGCCATCTCATACAGCTTTGGCAAAAAAAAGAAGCCTTAAAGGAGCCTTAGTTACACCCACTTTAAGGCCCTGTTATATTGCAAGAGCAGTGTAAAGTACCATGAGAACTTCTCTAAATGGGGAAATTTACTGGAATAAGAGTCCCCATACAGGGAGTTATACTGCTATGACCACACTAAAGTTCTTCTGGTGCATTTCCCTATGTAGACAAGCCCTCAGTGTAAAGGAGAAGACTGCAATTTCTAAAAGTTGCAAGGACAGGGAAATCTGCATGGAGGGATCTTAAGAGATGCGGAAGCAGGCACCCCACTTGCTGTAAATGAAGTATCAATTAGCACCGAAAGATGGTCTATTAAACTCCATAGACAGGAGCAGAGCAAGCAACAATGCAGCAGTCATACAGACAAGTCCTAGATGAAGAGGAATATAGGGGACAGATCCTTTTGAGAAAATGTATCAGAAATAAATTTCTGTTCTGCGTTATTTTTAAAGACAAATGATTTATTGCTATAGTCTATGTGCTCAATAAAAGACTTTCTAGTGGTAAGGGAAAATAAAACACAATTTTAAAGATTTTAACACTGAAAATAGTGAAAGAACAAATCCTTCCCTTGCTATGACAGCTACACACTAGGTTTTACCAAGCGTACTAGAATTAACAAGCCTCCTTTCTTGCTTTATTAATTATTCATGACTAACACTTCATTTAAAGAGAATTTCTGTCCCACTAACATGGACATTTTGCTTAAATGAGCAAGCCAAAGGACTTTCTTCTACAGTAACTTACATCCACTAACCAGCTTGGCTACAGTGAGCAGACTTTATAAGATATTATCACCTTTCAAATCCTTTCTAACAGATTCAGCAAGGATGCAGACAAAATCTTAATGAAATATGCATAGTAACATTAAAAAAAGGGAACACAAGTTTGGTATCTAATATATAATCACAATGACCAAGTCAGGTGTGCAGATTCCCCAGCATGGACTTTATTAGAGTTCAGTTATAAATACACAATCTTCAGACATTCGAGATGTAGTTCTGACTGATAAAGTAGCAGACAGGAAATGAAACCCCTCCCAAATGCTGCTCCTTATCTTGAAAAGCCCTGAAATTATTACTGAACTAATAAAGTAATTTTGTTTAAAAAGAAATGATTTTTTTTTTTATAAAGGCAGTTGTGAGATTATTGCTTTTTGCTGGCTGTGTACCATGCTGACATAACATGGTAAGTTTTGTATGATTTGTTATAGTGAAGTCTGGTAGTAAGGACGTAGTTAAAGAATATTTCAGCCTCCATTACAAATCCTTTGGAGGAAAGGGAATTTAACTTAAGCTTTTGTTTAGTTATAAATGTGACAATAAAATTTGCCATTTGCAATCTTTACTTTTCATTGTTTTGTTTTTATATGTAGCATATTAATTAAATGACTGAGATGCTTTCATGAATTTCAGCGAGGCTTACCAGACAGCATCGATTAATATTACTCACATGCATAGAAAAATGTTTCTGGACAATAGCACTTGGTTGCTGAGACATGTAATGCAAGTCCACAAGCAGTCTGACCGAAAACTAGTAATTTTCCCACTCATCAATTTCAAATCGCTGAGGTCTCTGCAGTCGCAGAATTTTACACAGATTTTACATTCTACAACAAAACCAAGATGATGAAATCATTATTTCACTGGATTTATTTTTTTTCTCCTCTCTTTCTGTGTAGAAGTATATGTACTGGAGAGCAAGGTGATCCTAGGGCTTGGCTTGGGACACCTGTGTTCAAATCCCTGCCACAGACTTCCTGAGACACCTTGGGCAAGTCATTTAGGCCTGGATCCACAAAAGAGACTTAAGTGTTGTGATGCTGAGCTTCACAGCGTATAACTTTTAGAGGCCTAAAAAAATCACTGGAACAACACTGAGATCCACAAAGCCTGACTTCGGCTCCTATAAAATGAATGGGGAGAGATAGGTGCCTTAGAATGTGATGCACAAAGACCGCATGGTAGGCAGGGAGCCGTCTATGCTAGACAATGGGAGATGCAATGAGAAGCCCCACTCCTCTCTCTGAATTTGGTGCCAAGTCCTGGCTGCAGGGAGGCACCTATCACTGTTCGAGAGTCACAAACTGCAGGCAAGACAGGAGTTCGGATGCCAAGGATCTGCCACCTTGCAGGTGAATGCCCTAACCACTAGGATACAGAGTCATTCTAACTCTTGCTCTGGCCTAATCAATATTTAATTTAAGTGGAACAACTTCAATAGGAGAGATTTAGGGAGATCCAAGCCACAACATTCCATAGCCAAGTGTTTGGGGCTCTCTCCTCAGGCGGGCAGATCACTGTTCAAATCCCTTCTCCTCCTCCTCCGGCACAGGGAAGACTTGATCCAGCAGTCTCCCACATCCCATGTCTAAGAGGACCATCATGATCATCTAGGCTGACCTACAGTACATTGCAGGCCACAGAACCCCACCTACCCACTCATGTAATAGACCTCTAACCTCCAGCTGAGTTACTGAAGTCCTCAAGGCATGATTTAAAGACTTCAAGTTACAGAGAATCCGCCATTTACACTAGTTTAAACCCGCAAGTGACCCATGCCCCCGCTGCAGAGGAAGGCTAAAAACGCTAACCACTCAGCTAAAAGTTGTAAAGTCCTCCTCCGCCTGCTCCTCCCCCTGGCTGTTTTGTGTGGAGTTAGGCTACCTCTGAGCTTGCCTACTGGATCGGGCCCTGCATGTGACTTAGGTAGCCAAACAACCTCTCTCCCCTACTTTGTGAATTACTCTGGGACTTAGGTGCCCAGTCACCTAAAGCAGGGCTGCAGTGCACACAATCAGAGCCAGAAACATAGGGAACCTTTACGGCAAAAACTTAGGCATCAAGCAAGTTCAGGCGCTTACAGGATTAGCTGAGCTGGAGGTTTGTGGATCGCAGCGGTGCCTAAAATCAGGACTTAGGTGCCTAAATACATTTGTGGATCCCACTCTTGGTCACTCTGTGCCTCTGTTTCCCTTCTGTAATATGGCATTGCTACTTCACAGAGGCAGTTTGTGAATTGCTCAGAAACTATGCGAATGAGGGACCTCAGATATAGTGTTTCTTTTCCACTTGGATTTGCTCTGGATTTTCCCCCCCCCCACAAGAGAAAAAAAGAACTCAAGTTTAGCTTTAGAAAACCAACAGTAATATTAGGGTAACAGATCTCACCTACATTGAAAATTTTTCGAGTGGAAAGTGGAGTGAGCATAATATTAAATTAATTAAAACATTTTAAAATTAGAGTTTGAAATTCATAGACTGTGGGCATGATTAAAATTCTCAGAAATAAATTTTGGTTGATAAAAACCATAACATTATACTTCGATGCTGAAGTTAAATATATTGTAACTCCACCTCCAGAATACTTATCTTCTCTTTAACTATAGATCAACATTTAAAGAGGATAAAGATCCTGCTTTAAACTCCTTTGTTATACCCCAATTTAACAGTATGTTCCTAAGATAATCAATTATTTTTATTTGTAAAATACCCAGCTCTATCCACCACGCATTATACAGTCATCTCAGTGCCTCAATGACAGGAGCATACGCCGAACTGTAATTTGCATGGGTTGCTGCACCCTCTGCTGGAGCAGGTAGAAATTATTAAGTTATTAACGATAGGTTTCAGAGAATCAGCCGTGTTAGTCTGTATTCGCAAAAAGAACAGGAGGACTTGTGGCACCTTAGAGACTAACCAACTTATTTGAGCATAGCTTTCGTGAGCTACAGCTCACTTCATCGGATGCAAGAAAGCTTATGCTCAAATAAATTGGTTAGTCTCTAAGGTGCCACTAGTACTCCTTTTCTTTATAAGTTATTAATATATTTTTTTAAAAGTGAGCTGGATAAATTTAAACATCTTGTATTTTAAACAAACTAATTTCTTGGTTACTAGTAAGGCTACAGGTTATTCAAACTAATAATACAATTTCCTTTTAACCATTTACTTACTTTTTGCATTTGTCCAGCTTGGACAGTAAAAATTAATGAATCAGTTTCGGTTTTGCTTCTGATCCGTGCTCTTTCAGATTCTCTCTGCTGCAAAAACTGGATAGCAATTACGGTTTACACTGAATATTTTGGAACAAATTATTGATTTCTATAGGGCTTCTGATTTTTAAATATTTTATTTAAAAAATCTAAATGTTGGCTAAAATTTGAGTTGACAATATTTTCTTTAAATTAATGTGCTGATACTTTATGCTCAAATTATTAAGGTAAAGGTCAAAGAAAATGCAATAATCTTTCCTCCTGAAATGTTAAAGGGATATGGATCCATTAAAAAAAAAAAACACACACTGCTATCTGAAAATGTGAAAACTAGTACTGTGAATTGAATGGGATTAGAGGGGAGAAATAACTATTTGTAGTTTATTTACTTTTTGTGTATAGCCATTTCCACCTAAGGGAGGGAGATTGGGAGCGGGACGGTCAAGGAGGGGCGGTGCTCAAGTGCATCAAGGAAAGCTCCATGTCCCGCAACTGGTGGGATGGGTACTGCAAGGAATAGCGAGATCTAGGCAGCAACCAGTGCCATTGTGGAGAGCGGTACTGTGAGGTCGACAGGTGCCAAGAAGTTGGACCTTGCCTCAATGGGGAGCGGCGTTGAGAGAGTGACCATGACCGTTGCCGTGCCGGAGATCTGCGCTGCGATCGGCAACTTGGAGAGGTGCGGTGCTGCAATGGAGAGCGGTGCACGGAACGAGGATGGTCTGAGCAGTGCTGCGAGGTCTCAGACCATGACCTAGACCTCGAGCGGGACCACAACCTACCAGCTGACGACCACCTAGAGTGGGGAACAGCTCCGAGGATCGGGGCTGCAAGACCAGTGCCGCGAGTCAGACTGGCACGTAACATACGTGCGGTGCTGGGACTCAGAACAGCGCTGGGACTCAGGCCGGCGCAGTGATGCTGGTCTGGGGGCAGATGGCCCAAACATTGCCGGTTTGCCCCTTGACGGTACCGGGGCTCGAGCTGATGGAGGCCTTGAGATCGGGGACACAGGCGCAGTCATCTCAATGAGCCCTCTAGAGGCCTCAAAAGTGTCTGGAGTGGAGGTCAGCGTGACCTCCTCCACCTGCAGCTGCAGGGGGTCTGGTGGTGTGGGGCTGCCCGGGGGACCGAGGGCCCATGCGGGCTGAGGCCTACTGGAGGGTCTGTCAGTCTTATGGGTGTCCTGCTGGGGCTGCAGCATCTGCTTCAAGCCTCTGAGGAAGTCCTCCCATGGCCTGCTTTTTACAGGCGGCCAGGGAGGGGGAGCAGTGCCGGGGGGAGCACTTCTGGGCCCCGGGAGATCACCAGCCCCTAGGAGGGCGTGCCGAGTCCTTTTGCAGTGCTGTAGACGGCACTGCTGGAGGAGCACTCTGCATCGAGGCGCTCGGGCCCAAGTCTTGTGGCGGACGGAGAGCAGACTCCATGTGGAGTTATTTCAGGCAAGCGTCCCTCTCCTTTCTGGTTCGGGATTTAAACGCCTTGCAAATTTTACACTTGTCTGCCTGGTGGGCCTCTCCCAGGCACCGAAGACAGGAGTTATGCAGATTGCCGTGGGCATAGGCTTGCCGCAAGAGCTACAAGGTTTGAAGCCCTGGGATGGCATGCCCCATAGGACACTCATTGAAGGGGAAAACCCTCAACTGCTATAAACTATACTTAACACTAGAGATAATGACTAAACAATTAACTAACAATGGGTAACTATATACAGAGATAAGTAAGATAGCTAGGGAGTAGTAGACAACTGGAGAACAAGAAACCACTGTTCCAACAACTGTCACTGGCAGTAAGAAGGAACTGAAGGGGGGTCGGGCCGGCAGGGTCGTATATAAAACGCCATATCGGCATCACTCCAGGTGGCTCCACAGCCGGCCCGACGAGTGGCTGCTACGGAAAACCTTCCGACAGCCGTGCATGCAGCGCGCACACACCTAACTGGAATTGATATGAGCAAGCACTCGAAGAAGAACCAGAGTACATGTTTAGGTAAGTCATGTACTAGCAGTACTGTACACTGTCCTAATGCTCTACTTGAAATGTTATGGAAGTCATCATCCAGAAATCAAATTGCATCATCAAGGAAAAGAAATACAAAAAGTATATGGCATTCTTCCATATCCCAATCAACTACTGACAAAGCAGGAATTCTTTAAACTCTACGAAGTTTAGATTTCTAGAAGATCATTTCACTTCCTAATTATGCTCCATGCCAATTATGAACTCAATTTTTGTGAATGCTTAACAAAAATAAGCTGTCAAAGAATCTTTGTGAGGTTTGGCCCAGATCCTCCAAACATGTACTTAACTTTACTCTCACAAGTAGCACCACTAAATTAAATCAGACTACTCACATAAGTAAACTTAAGCGTGTGGATAAGTGTTTACAGGGTTGGGACCTTTGTTTGGATTAAACACAAGGATGAATTATTGTTCATCCTTAAAATTTTACAATCTGTTTACAAAAATATCTGACTAGTGCAGTTACTTCATTCTGTTCCTGAGACTTACGAGACATTTCATCTTTTATTTTGTCCACATGAATAATATGTTCAACTTGCTCACCCAGCCACCAAACAAGTCTATGGAATAGAACATGTCAGACAGAGCTACAAACATAGGGATATAGCATAATTTTACCTGTATAGACTCATAACTCACAAGTGATAAACCTGCGATAAATTATACTCCTTTTCACACTATACAAAGTAACTTCAAATGCGTATGGCATAACCAGACAACTCTCAGGTGCACAATTCTGACTATTTCTTACCTATTGTGTTAAAATAAAAGAGTTTTCATACACATCAGGGTTAATTTTGCACTGTTTTCATTAAGATTCAGATAGGACTTCAAATGAAGTTGGATCAGGCTATTAGAGCACTGATTTGTATTTCAAAAATACCTAAAACAAAATGTACCCCTTAAAAACAGTACAGAACTCTGAACTTTAAACTGCACAATGTTCTTCAGAAATACCCCAGACTACACACTTTTAGAAGCATTAGTGCAGACTTATTTTAATTATAGAGACAAGCTGAAGAAATGAGCTGTTAAAGGTCTTTTGAGTTCTGGACATAACAGTTCCAGAATAGCAAAAATCTATTTCAAAGAACCATTTGCCTACAGAGAAGTTAAGTACTTTGCTCAAGATCACACAAATTAGCGGCAGAATCAAGGAAAGAACTGAGAGCTCCCCAGGCCCAGATCTTTGCTTTCACCACTAGATCATGCTACTCAAAAAGGCATTTTTGGAAATGAAATGTATATTGAATTTGGACTTCTTTTGTTATTAGCAGGCATCTGCCCATAAAATGTTCCCAATCGATATTCAGCTCAAAGTAATCCTCCATTTAACGTACTGAAAAGCAGCAGAATGAAATGTACATTTCAGTGTTACTGTGGAGAAAATTATTGATAACTAACCTCCTCATCAGAGTCATCTGCGAAGACCGAATGTTTCTTCAACATCAGAGTTTTCTGCAATGCTTTCTTGGGCAAAATAAGCCCATATCTGGAGAAAAAGGTTAGAAATCACCCTTTTAGTATTATTGACAATAATACGGTAATATATGTATTATATTCGAAGACGAAGAAAACAACCACCCAATTTTAAAAACAGAAAATAGCACACTAGCAAAATCAGCATCAGTGCCACAGTTATTGAGCATAATTTAGGACATTTGGTACAATGTAGCCGACCTTGTCACCCATTCATACGCTTCTCCTACAGCAGTCTTCAAGCTTTTTCCCATGCCACCCACTCTCCAGTCAATGCCCTTCCAGAGCTGGTCCACAAAGCCAGTACCCTCTCACTTAAATCCCTCCTGAAAGCCCATTTCTACCATAAGAAGAAACTAGTTCGGGCTCTTTATTCTGCAAAAGATTAAACACGGGCATAATCTCATACACACGCGCACCTCGAAAAATAATTTCCACCAATAATCAAAATGAACAGATTAATAAATTCACAAGCATCATTTTTCTTACTTGAGTTTGATTTAAGGATCTTTACTTTGTATATTTTGATATGATATTAACAATTTGTGTTTTAATGGTTATAATGTTTTAACTTTTTGAATCTCAACATCTGTCATTAAATAATTGTCTGCCTCCCGTTATCTAATGTCCCATAATTTTACGCAACTGTGAAAATTTAAATTGATAAAAATTGAAAAAATATTTAAAAATAAAATCGATATTATTCATTGAAATTATAAAAAAAATAAAAATCAAATTCTGCCAAGCCTACAAATAAACATTTGTCTTTCTTAAGAGATTAGTTCTACTCTTTTGGGAAGGGTTTGTTAGTACAAAACATGCAGCAGCATTCTCCCACCAACACAGGATACTGTGAGCACATCAAACCTGTAGCTGCTCCCTACAGAGGGTTCCTGTATAAAAGTGGTTCTTAACCAAGGGTACGCGTACCCTCAGGGTACGCAGCCGTCTTTCAGGAAGTACATCAACTCATCTACTTATTTGCCTAGTTTTACAACACGCTACATAAAAAGCACTAGCAAAGTCAGTACAAACTAAAATATCGTACAATGACTTGTTTATACTTCTCTATATACTATACACTGAAATGTAAGTACAATATTTATATTCCAATTGTTTTATTTTATAATTATATGGTAAAAATGAGGAAGTCAGTCATTTTTCAGTAATAGTGTGCTGAGACACTTTTGTATTTTTAGGTCTGATTTTGTAAGCAAGTAGTTTTTAAGTAAGGTGAAACTTGGAGGTATGCAGGACAAATCAGACTCCTGAAAGGGGTACAGTAGTCTGGAAAGGTTGAGAGCCACTGCTATAGAATATCAAGTCAAGTTCAAGGTCTCAATACTATTTTCAAGGCATGCAGAGGCTTGGGCCCAGGCCATCTAAAAGATCACCTATTATTATTTATTACTTGTACTGCAGAAGTACACCATGACCTGAAGATCCAGAATTAAGTCTGTAGTTGAAACTCTGCTCCCATGCACAAATGAACTCTATGGTGCAAGAAACAAGAGCTTTCTCAGGGGGCTGGTACTGGACTATGGAACAAACTCTCACAGGAACTAAGGACAATCCCAAACCTCACCACCTTCCATTCCAAATTAAGGCACACCTCTTTGACTGGCCCTCTTGTATATACACACAGAACAAGAGATACATTAAAAACAAAAAACACACCAATAAAAAACACTCCATTGCACACACAATTCCCCTCCCTGCCCCCAGCAGGATGAGAGGGAAGGAACTACATGTGACAGATGTTAGTCATGCCACTTAAGGCACTACTGGAAGGTGATAAGTGCAGTAGAGGTGGGTAGGGAGACAGGCTATCTGCCTTGAGAGATGTAGCTAGGTTGATCTAATTTTTAAGTGTAGACCAGGCCTAAGAGCTCCTAGGGGCAGGGAACATGTCTTCTTTCCTGTTTGGAAAGGCTTTGTGAGTTGTACAGGAAGTAAACAATAATAAATTTGACCCCAAAATTAGATTTGGGAAAAACAAACTTTTACTAGCTCTATACCCAATGATATATTTCTATTAATTTGGTGCAAGAAGCTTCCAGGATAAACAGTTGCTTTTAAAACAAACAAACATTCCCTTGCAATGTTTGCCCTCTCCAAAGTTGCAGCCCTGAGACCCTAGAGCCCAGATTGAATAAAACAAAACAAAGTGATTTGTAAGTCTTCTGCTTATCATACAGCCCCAGGTGAAGATTGTTTCTGAGCATGCCTTGGTCCACCACACTGTTTTGCAGGGGCCCACGTGAGTAACCCCACTGCCCACAGGTGGTGTTTTCAAGAGCTGCCCCACATCCCCAGCATCTGCCCCATGTTCTCATCTACCCTCACCATCCCACCCCCTGCCCCCCACTGTATCACCCTATCTCCTTCCCCAACAGGACCCCAGACTCCCCACCAATCCCAGGCCCTGGTGACCCCCCTCCATGTCCCCCTGGGGCCCTATCCTCTCAGCCTACCACACACAGGACCCTATATCCCCAAAGCCACTCCCCCACATTGTCATTCCCCCAATGCCACCATCCCCTCAACTGGCCCTCATGTCCCCTCATCTCAACCCCATTCCCTTTGACCTCATGGGCCTCTCCCCCAACCTCCCCTTCACTGCCCTCCCCCATGGCATCATCTCCCCCATGCCCCCAGGGGCCTCTCCCCCACTGCCCTCCCCCCTCGCACCACCCCCTCAGCCCCATCACCTCCCAGGCCCCCATGGGGGTCTCTCCCCAACCTCCCCTTCACTGCCCTCCCCCCTCGCACCACCCCCTCAGCCCCATCACCTCCCAGGCCCCCATGGGGGTCTCTCCCCAACCTCCCCTTCACTGCCCTCCCCCCTCGCACCACCCCCTCAGCCCCATCACCTCCCAGGCCCCCATGGGGGTCTCTCCCCAACCTCCCCTTCACTGCCCTCCCCCCTCGCACCACCCCCTCAGCCCCATCACCTCCCAGGCCCCCATGGGCCTCTCCCCCCAGTCCCTTCCCCCAGGCGCTTCTCCCGTCCCCAGAGTCTCTCATGGGGCCCCCCTGACGCGCCCGGGCCCCGCTCACTGCTTGCTCGGCGCCGCCATCTTGGGGTCGGGCGCGCTGCGCTGCTGCATCCGGGCACCGCCGCCTCCCGCTCGGCGCCGGTTCCGCCTCGCGCCGCAGGCGGACGGTGGGGCCGGGGGTGGGGGGGCTGATATCCGCGCCGGGGGGGGGCGATATCCGCGCGCGGCGGGGGGGCGGGGCGGGAGGAGGCATTCAGCCCGCCGGGGTGCGGCGGGAAGCTCGGCCGGGCTCAGACGGGGCGCGCCCGAGGGTCCCTGCCGGGTGAACGCGGGGGCCCGTGAGCGGCGCGGGGGGGCATTTTATCCCCGCTGCGGACAGGGGGAAGCCGCTTCGAGCGATGCGAAACGGGTCTCCCTCGCCGCCCCCGTGCCACCGGGGCGTTCGCCCTCGGGGCGTTTCCCTGCCCCGCCGCAGGGCAGGGGCGGCTCGGGGCGTACTGGGGGTCAGGGCCCTGAACCCGGGTCTCCGCAGTAAAACGCGGCGAGATGCTGTTTGCTTTTTGGGGGGCGAACGGATCGCTCGGCAACGCAGGACTCCCGGTGTGAGGCGGCGGGCAACCGGCTTTCGCCAAGCGAGGCTTCACCTAGGGCAGTGCGGGCACCCGCAAGTGCTGGGGCTCCCAGCTTTTGTCAGCCTGGTCATCTCTCCGCTAGTGAAGGGCCTGAGCCGGCGGCCTGCCTCCCGCCCCGCCGGGCACGCTCCGGACCTTTGGCGCCCGCCCGCTGCCAGCAAGCGCCCATGCAGAGCAGGCACCTGTGGCTGGGCGCTTCGGTTGGGTCAGGTACCTGAAAAGGTGAAACAAAAGCAGCACACCACTACCACAAGTGCTGCAGCCGAGTTTCCCGCCTTTGGGGAAATCGCCGGGGTCAGCGCACCCGCAGGGCAACGGGTGAGCCCCGCCCTGGGAAAACCACCTTCCTGATCCTGGTATCGCCCCTGCCCGGTGCAGACCCTGAACTAGACAAAGCCCTGGTGTGTTACTTTGACTCGCTGAAACAAACCATGTAATCTATAAGCACCCTACCTTTTTTGTTCCATTCATAAAGCTTAGTAAGTAATTTGTATTCACAATGAATTGTTTGTGAGCATCTTCTGAAGGGACAAGTGCTTGTGGCTATCAGTATAATATCTGTAAAGACATTGTTCCTAGAAATATCACTGTAAGTGACCTGAAAAGCCTTTCCCCTAACAAAAATATGAAACCCACTTGCCAGTTAGAAGCAGCTGTCAGATAATCACCATCATTTTATATGGGGAGGTTAAAAGCAACCTGCAATCTCAAATTAGAAAGTATTTGGTAGACATCACACTTTGTCAACTAAATAAAGAAAAAGAAGTTTAATTTCCCAACATTTTATTAAAAAACTGATTCTGCCAAAAGATACTTTATTGCAAAGATGGAATCTTGCAACAGAGCAGTAAAGTTTGCTGTAAACAAGCTTTAACCCAACAAGAAAACTCCTGTCACATTAAAACTAGAGGGATTTTCCAGAATAAGTGTTCTGCCCATTGGGAGAACTAAAAGCATGCTCTTCAACAATCTTTTCTAGGCTTAAAGTGACTTTGAAAATGTCACTTTAGGAAAATGAATCTTTGCTAAATACACAATTCAATTCGGAAGGGCTTTTTCTGTTATCGTTTATGAATCATGTAATGTGCTAGACATACAAGTTATATTTGCCCTCTTGCTTAATCCTCTTCTCGTCAGAATTAAATGAAAACCGAATGGTATTCTCTTCAGTCAAGTCTCTTGAGTTTAGAATGACCCACCTATGTTATCAGAATTGTTCCTTTTAACATTTCTAAATAAATTACTTAGATATTCCTAATGATTTTCTACACCTGGTAAGCAACTTATGTTTATTAGCTATGAATAGCAAACATAAAGCCAAACATTTAAAAGTAACATTAAATAATAGAATCACTAGGGTTAGAGGACAGCAAAACTTCTGAAGACTTATATGCAATCAGACTGGGTCTTGGAGTCAGAGATGCTAAAGGTGAATCTTGTGTATGCTGTAGTTCCTTCGTGAGCTCTATTAGTGTTAGACAGGTAAGTGCCCAGTTGTACAGGTATTCAGCTGGAACAGAGTTATGCTTCCACACCTCTTCTCTAGGTATACCTAAAACAAACAAAATCATAACACAGAAGTCCATTTCAAAACTAGGGCCAGTGCTCTAGCATGACCCGCTAGCATAGATCCCTGTACCCATGTGGAGTCCAAAAGTTAGTGGAATATTGCACAAGCTCAGGGGTCCCATACTAGCAGATTCTGATGCAGAATCATGACCTAGAGTTTTTCACTTACTAAAGAAATCCAAAGTAAGCATCCCAAGAGTCAAACTGCCCCAGGAAGTTCCTACTTTAAGACTTGAACTACAACCATACTTTCTAGCTGGATGAGAATTAGTAACCATCATCCACTGCTGCATATTTGATTGTTTCTATTGCAGAAAAGCTATGTTGGGCAAAGGCAAATTACTACTTTATAAACAGCCATGGAATATTAATCCATGGCTGTTTAGAAAGTAGTAATTTGCCTTTTCAATCCATTGAATTTGGTTTACAAATGCTATAGATTTTCTAAAATGAGACCAAAAGAAAAGGACAAATGAGACAAGCAGCATTCACGATTGGTATATTAGAATGCTGACACCTGCTGGGAGCAAACAAACCCTCTCACGTTACTGTCTGACTATTCTGTGCAGTGTAGTTGTATCCTCCTCCATCCCAGGATATTAGAGAGACAAGGTGGGTGAGGTAATATCTTTTATTGGACCAACTTCTGCTGGTGAAAGAGACAAACTTTTGAGTCACAAAGAGCTCTTCTTTGTCTCTCTCATCAACAAATGTTGATCCAATAAAGGAAATCCTCACCCACCTTGTTTGACGATTAGACAGCAAAGTTTATTCTTGTGCTGTTAGATGTGTTTGCATGTCTTTCAGTTTGGATGGTTGGAATGAATCAGCCCTGTAAATGTGCTGGAAAATTCAGGTCTGGGTTCAGTAGGGCAAATCAACCGAGTTTCACCTGAGCTGAACTTGGCCCATTGAGTTTTAAAAGGTCCTTTTAACATGTGCATGGTTGAACCAAAGAAAATAATACACTTGTGTGTTGTGCATGCATCCAACTGTGCACTGACCCAAAGACAAGGTAATAACATAGCCTGGCAGAGGCAGGTAGAAAGACCTGTTGAAGCGTAAATACAAATATTTGATATTATATATTAAATTCCTTTGATAGTTGTTCTTAGAGGAGCTGTAGGAAGGTGACTTATTCTCTCTGGCTCAACTCTCACTAAGATCAGAGATGAGCTATAGAAGCTACCATCATGTTTAGATGTGGTTGTAGCCAACACAGTCTAGCCTGGTTTCTCTGAGCAGTGTTTATTTTTTTCTGAGACCCATGCTACCCACGCCATGCTATAACCTAGTTAGTCTCTATAGCACAATTTTGTTCTCAGACATGTTTGCTGCCTTTTAAGCCTGTCTGCCACATCCTCAGTGATTCAAGCTGGGATGAGCCAGACAAGATCATTTCCTTCCCAGTGCTATTTAGTTCTTGTGGAATTGTTAGTATGCATACATTCTTTCAACTTGATGCCATGATTCTTCCTAATTATTTTCCATTTGTGTAATCTGAATTATGTACCAACCAGGGATAATTATTGCTGTCCTGGATTGCCTGCAATAGCAGGGGACTGGACTTGATGACCCCGGAGGTCCCTTCCAGTTCTGTGTCCTATAGTCCTGTCCTTTTATTTCTGTTCGTGGTCACTTTGGCGAGTTATACAAATCTCTGCTGCACGTAAGTCAGGGGTAGTCAATAGGTGGACTGTGGACCAAATCCGGACTGCCAGATGCTTTTGTACAGACCCCAAAATCTTTTTATTTACTTATTATTATTATTATTATTTTCTCTGGAGTCTGGCCTTTGACTATACCTTGACCAAGAAATTTGGACCTTGACAAAAAATAATGACTACCCTGACCTAAGTTGTGAGGGAGATCAGATGTGTCCTTGCTGTTCATCAGGTTGCTTTAGAAGGCAGACATTGGTCGAATTTTGTCCTGACTTGTTTTAGTTCATCCTGCTCTGAAACAGATTAACTGGTTGTACTGATTTTAAATAAGGGTGTGGAAGTTCCTCTAGAACGTCCGTATGAATCCATAAAGAAATCAGATGCTTTCAGAAAGTCTCTTCCATGGCACCCTGATTTTATTTTTTATGGACTAGTTGTATGTTTTATAGATTCTGCTTTAATTAAAAAATGTAATTAAATGTGACAGCTGTTACTCTGTAATCTGGTTTGTTGTAATGGGAGGTTTCAACTTAATAAATCAATTATGTATAAATCAATTCCATCTTTTACTGTTTACTTGTATTGTGATAGGATTTGTGCTGGGTGCTGTGCTAGGCTTTAATACTAGACATTTGACATTAAAATGCTAGTAAAGGTGAGAAAAGCAAAGTGTTTTCTCCATGTTCAGATTCTGAGGTTAAAGTTTAGTTGCCCTTTTCAGCTATTTTGATATGTACCAATTAAAGGTAACTAGTAGGTGCACAGCATTAAAGGGACCTGGACTAATTCTGATGTGTATACCAATGAGAAGTTTTATTTTACCACTCTCTCTTGCTTTACTGGTACATGGTGTAGGCAGTTAAGTGCTTCATATTATATTACAGTACAGGTGTGTGGCGCATGTGAGGAAAACACAGGAACATGTATCTATGTGAATGTTGTAATACATTTTGAAATTGATACATATGACCGTCAGTGGTATTTGCATTTAGACCACTGATTTGTCTCCTCAGTTCCTAAATCCTAATTGGTTTGAGTCCCAGAATAGGTTACATGCCACGTAACTGTTCCTTTGTAGAATAGCAGCAGCTTGTCTTTTACAAATGTAGAACTATATTCTCTCCATCTAATCCAGGGCTTGAATTGTGGGGAAAGAGGGGCTGCCTGGGGCTGCTCTTGTTGCTGCAATAAATTAGTTTAATATCAGAAGGGAAGGAGCCAGGCCTGGTTAAATGTTTACTGTTCATGCCTAGGCTACATCTATAAAAAGGTACGTGTCAAGGTAGTATCAATAAAT